TATTATGCAAATTTAAGAAGAATTTACAATAAGCTCCCCTAGGACCTGTCTTACATATTCAAACTTTTATATTGTTTGTACAGAGTCTTTTAGGGTTATATTATAGATTTTTTTATAGTGTTCTATATTTTTATGTAACTCTCATGAGTTTTTCTGATATACAACTCCCACTAAGGTACACTACTGAACCTCTAATTAATTGGTGCTTTCTATGTTCTATGTTCTCTCAAGCAACTAATTTTAAACTCATTTGTTGCACACAAACTATGTTAATGGTTCCCTGTATTAACAATTATGTCTCGTTTCAGGATACAAGACTCCTTCCAAATGTTTATATAATGTAGACATATGACAAGCTTTCTGTCCCAATTACCATAGAATGTTTAATGCATTTTATTCTAGTATATTTCGTTTCCATTTATTATTATTTTTTGTCTTCATTCTCTCTTAACTACTGATTGCATTCATGCCTATGCTATACTGATCATATATAAGAAGTAAAACGTCACAAAATACATACTTCTGATATCAACCTCTTTTGATGTCAATTATGTTCATACCAATTATGTATAAGTAATAAGACACAACAAATGAAAGAATGGTATATATTATTTATTTTGTTTTATTTTATTTTATTGTATTATATAAACTCATATGTAACAATCTTGTTTTGGATATGTATATATTATATTGAATAAGTATACATTTTTCAAGTAATTTCTCAAGTTTTTCAATTTTTTCAATTATTAAATTAACAACTGTGAGGTATTTAAACACCCCCATGTAGACATATGACATATGCTTTATCCATCTCTGATGAAGTAGAGCTATCCTCTACGAAATGCGTTAGACAGCTAGAACAGCAAGAAGGCACATCCACACGAACTCTATCCAGCCAGGGTATCTCTGCAGAAGAACTCACCTATCCCGGATCCTAGACGCATAACCAACACCGTCGCAAGAACAGTGCTGTTCCCCCGAAGTGAGGCTCGAGGTGGAACGCACTGTGGAACGCACGCCGTCCTCACAGGCAATCAGGATCTGGGCAAGAGGATCACACACATCATCTGGATCCATACTTTATACTAAGGTGGTCTTGCAAATTTTACCCGAAATTGACTGGCATTTAGATTGTGGACATGCTATTTATTTTATATCATTTTTAATCTTCAATAAATAATATTTTAATATCTACAGTTGTTTTTAGCGATATATTTATATTGCTTATTCGCACTAGCTTTGTTGTACCGAGCTTTTTTCATTTTTCTATTTGACTGTAAGCAGCCAACGGACACTTTGTGAGTGACTTAACCATTTAGCTATTGTATCCTTCTGATAGATACATTTTTTTGCTATATTCACCAACTCAGTTAACTCTTTGACAGATACTATTTATTTGTTCTCCTTCTTTTTATATATTATACTAAGTAAGCTCCTGGATTTATGATTACTATCTTGTATAGTAGCCAGCCTTTTTTCTATACTCTCTTATAGGTCTTTGGTGGATTCCTATATCTTTCCAGTTTTAGAGCTTCTGTCTGATAGGCTGACTCCCTCTTTTCTGTTTTCTAATTTATTTTAGTTAGCAGTTTGTGTTTCCTAAACATCAATTATAGATTGAATAGCAGTTAGTTGTCTCAAAGCGGGTGTGTCAGGCCTCACAGTGGATACTGTGCCCAGTGCCACCACTCACCTCACTGGTGTCACAATAGCTTGATTTTAAAAAAAAAAAAAACTCTTTTTTCACTGTTATAGATTGAATAGCAGTTAGTTATCTTCAGGTGTGTCAGCCCTACAGCGTGTACTCTGCCAGTACGCTGCCACCTCCTCTACTCCTCCTACTCCATCCCTTCCATAACCTCCTCGGCTGAGTCCTCTTCTGCTGCTGCGCCTTGCTCCACATCAACGGATAGGGATAAACAGTGATTAAACTGATAACAATAGTACTAAACACACCACTCCTATCTGGTGTCACATTAGCTTGACCGCGCAGTGCCCCAAATTTGCAGTAAGAGGACCGACCAAGCCTCTTCTTCCATCTCCCGTTACAAAAATCAATGCCGTGTACACGTCCACTGATAGGAGACGCGGAAGGTATTAAACTGATAAAAATAGTACTAAACACACCACTCCTATCTGGTGGCACATTAGTTTGCACGCGCAGTGCCCCAAATTTGTTGTGATCTGTGAGTAAGGTAAATGGTTGTCCATACAAGTAGGTTGCAGCTTTTTGAGGGCCCACAACACCGCCATGCACTCCTTTTCAATGGCAGTGAATCTACTTCGCTATGCAAAAGTTTACGGCTTAGATAAAAATCAATGCCGTGTACACGTCCACTGATAGGAGACGCTGAAGGTATTAAACTGATAAAAATAGTACTAAACACACCACTCCTATCTGGTGTCACATTAGCTTGACCGCGCAGTGCCCCAAATTTGCAGTAAGAGGACCGACCAAGCCTCTTCTTCCATCTCCCTGTTACAAAAATCAATGCCGTGTACACGTCCACTGATAGGAGACGCGGAAGGTATTAAACTGATAAAAATAGTACTAAACACACTACTCCTATCTGGTGTCACATTAGCTTGACCGCGCAGTGCCCCAAATTTGCAGTAAGAGGACCGACCAAGCCTCTCCTTCCATCTCCCTGTTACAAAATCAATGCCGTGTACACGTCCACTGATAGGAGACGCGGAAGGTATTAAACTGAACAGTCTCTATTCTGCTCTTGCATTTCTATTTCTTCATAGAAAACTAAAAAATTCTGAGAAGACGTTGGCAGGGCTATTCACTTGTGTGATCTGTCATGAATTGTCATTTGAATGTTATTTTGAACTGTGGGGCACAAGAACTTGAATCTGACAAAATGGCTGCCATATACACATCCACTGATAGGAGACGCTGAAGGTATTAAACTGATCAGAACAATACTAAACATACCACTCCTTTTTTTGGTGAGGCTTTACAGGACAGAGTGCTTCTCCACGGGACATGTTAACTCACGGGCAGCTGGCTCATCAAGGAACCAGAGCAGCTTTCCATGTACAGGTAAGACACGTGCAGCCGGTAAGGGTTCAGGCTCTTCTTCCTGGAGGATATGCTGCAAGCCTGTTGAACGAGGTGACCTTGCTCGGGTCCCAGGTGTACGGTTCCTAAAATGGCTGCCATATACACGTCCACTGATAGGAGACGCGGAAGGTATTAAACTGATCAGAACAATACTAAACACACCACAAATAAGGTTTCTCTCCTGTATGGCTCCTCAAATGATGCTTAAGATTAGAAGCGGCTGAAAAGCATTTCTCACACTCCGAACAAAAATATATATTTTTTAACATTCTCTCCACTTTGAACGAAATGACGTTTGGGAAGAGATTAACATAATTAAACACAGGCAGTAAAAATACAGTTTTTAGCCATACCCTGTAACTTTAAAACTACACATCCCATCTTCATAATTACATATTTGGAATCAGCACACTTAAAACATAAACATAACCAAAAATCAGCCAAATACATCCAGGAGTTAAAAAGTTAGCTGGAGGTCCCTTTATGACCGACCGCAAGCACATTTTCCTGCCCAAAACAGTTCCATAGATTTGGGCTGTGAGGTCGGTCTATTTCAGGCTGAAAAAACGACTAAGTCCCATCGCGAATGGGACTTAGTCTCTGCAGCCGAAATAAGGCTGAAAAAAACGGCTGAAAAAAAGACTAAGTCCCATCGCCGAATGGGACTTAGTCTCTGCAGCTGAAATAAGGCTGAAAAAAACGGCTGAAAAAAAGACTAAGTCCCATCACGAATGGGACTTAGTCTCTGCAGCTGAAATAAGGCTGAAAAAAACGGCTGAAAAAAAGACTAAGTCCCATCACGAATGGGACTTAGTCTCTGCAGCTGTAAAACCAGTAGGGGAGAAGGTAGAGCTCAGCGGTGTTCGCGGAAATGTGTAGCCGATTTTAGTTCCATGAATTTGGCTACACATACCGCTGACCTCGTCGAATGATCAAAGATGGCCGCCGCCACGTGTTCGGCAAACGAACAAAGACCTCCCAGCATTGTCAATTAAGCTTCTGGGAGGTAAATTGCCTGCACACTTCCACTTCTGGGTGGTCTGCCTGTGTGGTACTTGGTTCAGTAAGCCCCATTTACTGAACCAAGTGGGAATTAGCCAGGCAGGCACAAAGGGTTTGCACCAGGTCTGGGGACACAGGGGACACCGCCTTAAAGGGGCAGTGTCCCAATCTTCCTGATGTCCCAAAAAAGGTGTTTAAAGGGCCAGCACCAGTCACATAAAGAGTCCATAAGCCCCAATATGCCCACCGACAGTCTTAAAGGGCCATACACACCAAATAAAAGTGCATACATTTTCACAATCTCCCAGGGGCCATAGTCATGCGGGAGGAGGTTGGCAAATAGGCTTCTCCACAACCCAGGGAAGCAGGGCAATTTGCCATTTAAAGGGCCTGTTACAAATAGCAGTTTGTAACAAGGTGTCAATCCATATCTGCCAAGTGACCCGATGTAGGGGGAACAGTCCCTATTCTGCTCTGTGTCAGTGTGTATCAGGGATCCCTAGGACAGGTGTCAATCCATATCTGCCAAGTGACCCGATGTAGGGGGAACAGCCCCTATTCTGCTCTGTGTCAGTGTGTATCAGGGGCTCTGAGGACAGGTGTCAATCCATATCTGCCAAGTGACCCTATGTAGGGGTAACAGTCCCTATTCTGCTCTGTGTCAGTGTGTATCAGGGATCCCTAGGACAGGTGTCAATCCATATCTGCCAAGTGACCCGATGTAGGGGAACAGTCCCTATTCTGCTCTGTGTCAGTGTGTATCAGGGATCCTTAGGACAGGTGTCAATCCATATCTGCCAAGTGACCCTATGTAGGGGGACCAGTCTCTATTCTGCTCTGTGTCCGTGTGCATCAGGGCTCTGAGGACAGGTGTCAATCCATATGTCAAGGTGTCAATATGTCATATGTCAGGTGTCAATCCATATTGATTGTGATTTAGGAATGTTAGGTGATTTCTGCCCTTTATGGATTAAAACCAGACTCTGTATCAACCGTGTAATTTTCCATGGGAGTTTTGCCATGGATCCCCCTCCGGCATGCCACAGTCCAGGTGTTAGTCCCCTTGAAACAACTTTTCCATCACTATTGTGGCCAGAAAGAGTCCCTGTGTGTTTTAAAATTCGCCTGCCCATTGAAGTCAATGGCGGTTCGGGCGGTTCGCCGGTTCCGCGAACATTTGCGGAAGTTCGCGTTCGCCGTTCGCGAACCGAAAATTTCGGGTTCGCGACATCACTATGAAACAACATACAAAATGTGTTTAACATTATAAATCTAAGCAAGCTGGGAGAAGGCATTCTCCCTCTCCCTAGACTTTTTAAGTGTGGTGTTGGTTGAATATTTTTGTTAATAAAGCATCCAGAAGAGGCGCAAAATGCAACCAATGTTTTAGTTTACTTTGTTGTTGGTTTTTTGTTCCTTCCCCGACGCACAGTGCTGAGTTTATTTCTTTATGGTAATTAATTTTCCTTGTCACCTATTTTGTGAGCATATGCCATGTAACACATATTTTAATAAATCTGCATCACAAGGAATTTTCAACAGTATAGAAAGTAAATAAAAAAGGCATTTGGGGGGGCATGGCCTGGCAGCTCACTTGTATGGACAAGTGAGCTGTTAGCTCCCGGCAGGGATTCAGTATTTACAGAGATCAGACAACATTTTTTTGCTAAAAACAACAGAAATGGCACTTCTGCTGATACTGACCATCATGGTTCAGAAATCGAGCAAAAAAACTAAACTGAAACAGACTAACTTGTAGATATCAGCTACACCTCCATGTCGGATCCAAGATGGTGCCAGTGAACAACACTTCCCTGCATCCTACTTGAATAAGAGCGACCAGACTTCCATATCAGCAGCTTACCCAGCTCCAGCATCGGAATCCTCAATCCAGAGTTATGAGTTGCAAACAGACATGCAGGCGGAATTCGCCAAATTAGCCAAAGATATCAGAACAGATATACAGGCAATTGGGGAATGAACAACCCAGCTGGAGGACAAAAATTAAGAAATTATTGGGGCCCACAACTCCCTCGCGGTGGCCTATGAGCAAATTGAAGCTAAACTGGAAGCTTTCACTATCAAAGTAACTGATAGTGATGTCCCGAACTGTTCGCCGAACGGTTCGCGAACGGTTCGCCACGGTTTGCCACGGTTCACCACGAACGTTTTGCCGCGGACTCATCATTGAGTAAACTTTGACCCTGTACCTCACAGTCAGCAGACACATTCCAGCCAATCACCAGCAGACCATGGGCGTCCGCAGGAATTTTTCCGGGGGGGGGGGGAGGCATAATTGTAATGACATCCATGCTTGGTACCTTTTGACAGTGTTGGCGAAAGGAAGGCATAGCCATTATCACATAAAGCCAGGGTGAATAACGTTTTCACAACTATGGTGTCAGGAATATATGTTTGTATTCCTGACACTATAGTGTTCCCTTAAGCAAATTAAAGGACATTTCTGGTCACCATAACAACTTCACCTAAATGAAAATGCTATGATTCCAGGAAGCCCCTGGGTGCTCGCTTTCCTTTAAGGGGTTAAATCGCTCTCAAATGGTTTAACCCCAAAGGCTTCCTCCAGCTCCAGGTCGCTCAGTGGTATTTGGCTTGAATAGAGTGTCAGGAAGTGCAGATGACGCAAGTCAGGCATGGTGCCGCTGATTGGCTAGAGGATTGAAGTTGACGCCTAAGCTACCGCTAGTTCTGCTCATATAAAATATTGCTTTTTATGAATGGGAGCTGCTGATACATGCCAGCTGACCGCTTCTAGCCAATCAGCAACACTCTACCTAACGGCACTCTGTGCTTCCTGACACTCAGTAAATAAAAGTGAAATACATAACACCTATATTTTTTACCTTTGGAGATGAGAAGGTCCATGCTTCCCTGCTGTGCCCAGGTACCAAAGCCTTATGATGTGGTGTCCAGAATAAAGTGGAGGTTCACTTCATTTGTCCTTCCTGCTCCAATCTCCTTTTCCTCTCCTTCATTTGACAGTCTTTTTTTTTCTTCTGACACTGTTTTCTATCCTTGGCCCCTTCTGCTCTTTTACCTTTCTGCTTATTTTGCGCCCTTCTGCTCCTTTCTCATTCTGATCCTTTTCTGCTCCTTGCAGACCCTTTCTGCTCCCTTTTCTACTTTACCTTTGTGCTCCTTGCTGTCTCTTTCTGCTCTTTCTCCTACTTTACCTTTGTGCTCCTTCTGATTCTTTCTGCTCCTTTACCTTTGTGCTCCTTGCTGTCCCTTTGTGTTCCTTCCTGCTCCTTGCAGGCCCTTCCTGCTCATTCTCCTACTTTTATGTTTGTGCTCCTTCTGCCCCTTCCAGCTCATTTCTGACCCTTTCTGCTCCTTCTACTTTACCTTTGTGCTGCTTTACCTTCAAGCTCCTTGCTGACCCTTCCTGTTCATTTCTATATATCTATAGGCTGCTGCCCCCTCCCCAAATCTATGGGCTGCTGCCCCCCCAAATCTATGGGCTGCTGCCCCCAAATCTA